CTTGATGTTGCGGTTGACTTCATTTCCCCCGAGACTCGTGGCCGTTATGTTTCTTACTGGAGAATGGCACTACCATCGGGCGAAAAGTTTGGCCAGCGGTTTTGGGTTGCCATTTTGGTTAGTCACCTTTATTCAATTCATTACCATTGTTTATCTTCTCAATATCCCTCTCAACAGCCTCTTCACCGGGTATATGCTCTAATTTGTTGATTTGTCTTTTATTTTCCAGGTTGATACTTCGCTTGAAGAGTCCCCACGTGAAAGTGTTCGGAACCTGAACCTGAACCTGCCCCCTGTGAGCTCCTCATTTACTGGGCCTGAAATTATCAACATTGAGCCTGAACCGATGGTTGAGGACAGCTCTTATGGGGCCTCCTACAAATCGAAGAAGTCTGAGAAATTACCAGTGCCGCCAAATGCAGATCAAGAGCTGAAATTCCCTATAAACGACAACTTGTTGGTCGGGGACAGTGCTGCTTCATCAAGTACTCGTCCATCTCAGCAAATTTCGTACCCTATCATTGACATCTCTGATATTGCTCCACCTGTCACCTCTGTACCGGCCCCTACCACCACATTCTATCCGCAAAACTCATTTGGAAGTATTCCAGCTGTTGGCAGTGCACAGGAGACTGAGGTTGAGCTCCCGGGAAAGATGGAGATGGAGGAGAAGCTTCTCAAGGAACTGGAGGAGATGGGATTTAAGGAGGTTGATCTGAATAAGAGGATGCTGAGGATGAATGAGTATGACTTAGAGCAAGCTGTGGATGATCTCTGTGGTTATACTGACTGGGATCCTATTCTTGAGGAGCTGCAGGAGATGGTGAGTTTTTTAATAGTTACAAGTATACCAAGAGAAAAAGAGAGAAAATTGGTTGTAAACTTCAGATTACTTTTTTGTTTTTGTTTTTGTTTTGTTTTTTTAACAAAAATGCAAAGTTCACTCCACTTTTCTCTCTTTAGTTTTATCGACATATTTTTTTTAAAAAAAAAAGAAATCAATCATTATGACACAATTTATTATAAAATTAATTATTCATCAACTCAAATTTATCATTACCACTCGTTATTGTATATTTTACATCATATCAACTATAATCATGGCATTTCTATCTCATCTGATCAATCACACTTTTCAAATGACTTATTTTCTGGCCCAAAATTTTTCACTTTTCTCTAGTGATAATTTTTTTTTTCAATAGAAAATCACACCTTGGATAAGACTTCGAGTTGGCTGTTATATATAGTTATGCATATATGCATTCATATCCGCATGCTATTGCTTGTGAAATCATTTTAGTTAGTATATTGTTTGCGGAATTTTCGTCTTTTGATCCTCCATTTACATTCAATCATAGATTTAATGATATAGTATTACTTCACTATACCGTAACACGCGTTCATATATTACATATTTTATTCATTCACCGCTTCCTCTAGAAATTCAATTGCCATTATGAAACTATTACATGAACCTGCTTCTGTTGTGTTGAAGTCGTGTTATCGCAGATCAGAAATCCATTTGTGATATACCGAGCAAAAGTCTTGGCTTTATGGTTTGCCGTTATCTTGGACCATATTTGCAAAGTTACGATGTGTAAATTTATGGTGTGTATGATTTGTGATGCCAGGGTTTTCATGATACTGAAACAAACAAGATGCTGCTGAAGAAGAATAATGGGAGTATCAAGCGCGTAGTCATGGATCTGATTGCCGGCGAGAAGATCGAGTAAATATTAGCAACCAGACTGTATATATATTATCTATTATGCAGTTATAAATAAATGGCTGGACCTTGTTTTATAGCTTTGCTGTTGGTGTTGGTCTCAGGCAATGTTATGATTGTGCCCAGTTGAAACTGGTTATCCTATAACACTGTTTATGCAACTGTTATTTAAGTCTCTTTTATAGCTTTTATGCCTCATATTTTCTAGGATATTAGTTCTTCATATTGCAATCTGCTGTCTTGAAGTTTCTTTCATCTATAATTATATTATAGGGGATACCATTTACTAATTTTAGCAGGTTGAAAAGTCAGCTCAATTAATGCATTACTATTTTAGGATACAGATTATAATATAATATAATATTTTCTTTTTTAATTTCGAATTCAAAATCTGCCCAAGTAAATATCTAACTAACGTTGGATTAGTGTGAATCTTTTTTAAAAATCTTCTTCCCAAATGAAGCCAGATTTGACGCATAATATAATTTTGTTTTTTTAATTTCGAATTCAAAATCTGCAGGCGCGTGTATTAGTGTTGAATTTTTTTTAAAGATCTTCCCAAATTAAGTCAAATTTGACGCGTACAGTTTTTTGGAATTCTACTGATAATTATCTGATCTCATCTGATTTGTTACTACATATAATTGTGTCGAATTGTTTGAAAAAGTAATTATAAATTATAAATTATAGTAAATATCTGATTTGTTACTACAGATAATGATCTAATGTGATTTGTTACTACAGATAATTATCTGTTCTGATTTCACGCGTGATCTAAATTCTTTAAAAGCAATTCAACGATGCAATTTAAATTACAGATCTCCCAACACTGAATCAACCAACCTTGGACCTCCTGCGAAAAAAGAAAAAACAATCAAACAATGAATTCAGGATTTGGCTTAATCAAAGAAGTCAATAGGTCTACTAGACCTATGCTTAAAGTTCGTATTGTACGAATGTTCTTCCAAGACTGGGGCAGTACATACAAATCCTATCTTGAATTGGTTCTTCATGATAAAAGTGTAAGCCGAATTATTTGTACTTATTTGATTATCAAATTATCAAATATATTTCCGTATATATATAATATAATTCCGATTTTATATATATATATATATATATATATATTTAAACAATTTTTTTTTTTATTGATATATCGTTTTCCCATGTGTTTAGGGAAATCGCATTACAGCAATGCTACGGGCAATCAACTTGACTGCGTTTAAGGAGAGAAATTTTGAAGAGGGCATGGTAATTTGTATAAAAAATTATCAAGTGGACAGCAACATAGGGAAGTATCGCTCGACATCTGGTGATTTTAAGATCATGCTGCACGGGAGCACTATGTTTTCAAAGTGCAAGGACGAATTTCCTTTTTTTCGATTTCAATTCAAAGACTTTGCAACTTTGCAAGATGTCAATCAAATTGATGAATCGATGTTATTCGGTAATATTCTTTTATGATGTTTCGAATTTTGTTTCTTAATTTTAAATTAATTAAATTAAAACATTTTTTTTAATTGTAGATGTTATAGGATTAGTCATTGACATTCAAAGTGTGCAAGAGAAACAAATAAAAACTGGCGATACTCAATTGGCTGCCTTCATTCTGATGGATCTAAAGTGAGTTATTTCGGTTTTTTATGTATATATTTTGCTATCGTTAACTTTTTTTATATATTTTTTTCATATATATTTTTGGCTATCATGAATGCTTTTTCATAATCTCTCTCTTTTTTTTATATTTAATACAGTGAAAATTTTATAAATTGCACGGTTTGGGGTGAGTATGTCGATCAACTTTTGGCTTTCGAGAGCCATTACGAAGAAAGTGGACAACCATGGGTACTAATAATGCAATTTGTGCGTTCTAGAGAGTACCTACGTAAGTATTATTTCAATTTCAGTTATTCCAATTGTTTTAAATTTTAATATTAATTTCGAATCGTGTAATTGTATAATTTATTTAATTAAAAAATTAGCCCAATCATGTTTTTATCATTTCGAGTTATATCATTTCAATGTGAGTTTTATGAAGTACATGCTGTTTAGGTATTATGTTAATCTAATTAGTTTAATTATTTAATTACTTAATTTAAATGTTCAACCCATATACTTTAATTGATCATCGAATTATTTATTTACAAATTTAGCCGCATCATATTTTTATTTTTATCTTTCTAATGTGCTGTTTAGGTTTTATGATAATGTTAATTTAATTAGTTTAATAATTTAATCTATTAAATCAAAACATATAATTTAATTGTTAATGGAAGTAGTTTATTTATAAATATATAAATTTTCATATGCTTAAAAAATTCTTAACATTTTTCTGTTTAATATGTTTGTAGATAAGGTACAGGTTACTACTTCATTAAATGTTACCAAGTTGATCGCCCATGACTCTGTCAATGAGATTCGTGATTTTTGGACAAGGTAATAATTTGGTTCGTTGGACAATTCCAATTTGTTAATAGAATTCTTATTATTGTATATGTATAAATCATATTATTCTATAGAATTTTTTTAAAATCTTTAATTAACTTATTTTTTATTTTATATAAATAGGTACTCCAAAAGCAACCTTAAGGTGAAAAAATACTGTTCAAATTCAAAAACTGTCGTCAAGACAGAACTAGATGAGTTGCTGTCGGGTGAGAAACAAGTTTCTTCTGTGTTTGCTTTGATCGAAACTAAAGAGGTAGCTATATTTTCTAAGTCATGTTTACTAAATTTTATTTCTATATATATGTATTCTTTTTTTTGAACTGAAAATTAATTACGAATTTTGGTGAAGCCCAAGACCATGTGGGTATGTGCTATGATTGACTCTGTGTGGACAATTGGTGGTATTTTGCTTGCCGAAGTTGTTGCAGCAAAATGATTAATTCAGACAATGGCTTAAAGTGTGCCAAATGTTCAAAAGAAGCTGGGAAGTTTAGGTACCTCTACATTTGTTAATCTTTTACTTTACATTTGTTGATTGATTTTCCATGTTAATTTTTTTTTTTAATTATTAGGTACAAGATGAACTTGCTCATATCGGATGCTACGGCTAATGGGACTTTTGTTTGTTGGGACAAAGAATCTGAAATCCTTATTGGGAAATCCTGCCATGCTTTAAGATCTGAATCTATGCGCAAGGTTATGTTTCCATCCTATTTTTTAAACAATTTAAGAACTTTTAATTGTGAATGCTAACTTTCAAATCTTTTTTTTCATAGAATGCTGATGAAAACTATGATTTGCCGCATGAGATTAATATGTTGATTGGGCAGTCTTTTCTGTTTAAAGTCCGCATTCAGCAGCAGAAGCAAGGCTACAACAATACGTCGTCTTTTAGTGTTTGTAGGGTAATACTGAACAAGGATGTTGTTTCTAAGTACAACCAACTGATTATTCAGCATGAGGTAAATTGTGTGATTTTTATTTTTAGAGAAATGTAGTATAAATTAGTTTGTTTGCATGTTGCTTACGTTATGCATGTTCTCTATTACAGGTTTCCGACTATTTTACCATGCTTCAGAGTAATGACAACACCTATTGGGTGGTAATATATTTTTATCTTCTACAATTAAATGAATAACATTTTTCTAATTTTTACAATATTATTATTTAATTATTTAATATGTAATTATATTACTTAGGATGATGATGGTGATGAGGAGGTTTCTACACCTCTAAAGAGGGCAAAGGAAATAGAGAAGAGTGGCGATTCGTCTGCAAAGCGAAACTTGAGTGAAACATTTGACAACGAGGATCCTAAGCTCATGTTGTCTACCACAGCTGATAAAGGCAAGGCCAAAGTGTATGATGATGGATCTCTTATGATAGAAGATGCAAGGGATGAAGAAGCCTGACTGGAAGCTTATCATTAGTTATGCAATATTATGAAGAGTTTTTATTGTTATTCTTATTGGACAATTATGTTTTCAATTTTATTTTGCTTTTTAGTTTTAAAAACAGCAATATATATTGCTGTTTTTCATTTATTGGATTAGAATAAGCAGCAGTACAACTGCGAGAATGCTTCTATTTATTATCATTGCGGAACTTGGTTCATTATTTTCTTGAATGTCGTAACTTGGTTTTTTTATTTTTATTTCAAACTAATTATAAGTATAGATATGTTATTATAGATTGCCATTGTCTTCAACACTTAAATAAAATAATAATCTATATTATTCATACATTTTCATCCTTCTATGTCGTATAATTTGTAATCACAATACATAATTATAATACGGAACAACATAATGTGCAAGGAAAATAACAGATATTTAAATATAAACTCATTACATAACTATGAATACAATGGTAAAACATAACAGAACTATAAAAACCCAGCAAACACAAACATAGGTAACTCATAACATAGCTATAAAAACAATGCAAACACAAACATTGGTAACTCATAACATAACTATATAAACAATACAAACATATTAATTTTCGGCAAGCAAAACAGTAAGTAACTAAAATCTATAACAAAAAACATGGAAGGATGACTCATTACATAACTATAAAGTCATTAAGTGGATTAATTTAGAATTCACACGTCAATAATTATTAGAAGGGAAATAAATAAATAAATTTTATTCATGACTTTGTTACCTAAAAATCTGATTTGTTTCTCATATATATCTAACCCTTATATATCTAACCAATGTACACTGATTAATTATATTTACACGTGAATAGTATAGAAGGAAAAAAATATATATTTTATTCATTATTCTGTTACCTAAATATAATATTTGATTTGGTTCTCATATATATCTAATCTAAGATATATCTAATCTAAGATGTAAAATAATCCGTGATCAATGGAGAATATCTTACAAAATCTTTTCTGTTATACTTTAACAAAAACACTTAATATTTATATATATATATGCTCGCTGCGTGTAGGTTATGTTTTTTCAACAGCCACCACAGAAAGGTTATTTTTCTTACGTCTATTTATCCATCTACTTCATTCCCAGTTTCAGTTTCATTTATTCTTCGACTGCTAATCAATAAATAATCAATAAATATTTTATTTTTCAACAGCCGTAGATAAGAAATCGGAGAATCAACAGAAATGCACAACAATAGGAAGGATGCAGTCAGAAGAAGTTACAAAAGAGATGCAACAATTCGTTTTC